GAGATTAAATACTCCCAAAAATTGCATTTTCTCTTCATTTGTATCCAATTCTAAAGGCAATCGTTTGGTAAGAATTATATTATATTTAAAACGATTGTCTTCACTGTCATCACTGTCTTCGCTCTCTTCATCTGAATCACTACTGAATCCGTTTTCAAAGAACTTAATCTCTCGTTTGTGTTTCAATTTTAATTCTTCCAAATCTAGTTTAGATACAACTCTCACTTCATTTTCATTTATGGAACAATTGTCCGCTTTTTTATTAGAGACAACTTCTTGTGTCGACTGATGTATCGATTGATTGGAACTGTTTTTCTCTGAATTCTCCAAAATTCTTGAGTGAAGGCCTTCCGTGTTATTCCTTTCAGACGATTGTTTGTCAGCAGTTATTATCAATTTATCAGTACTTCTGTCAGAATTTGAGTGAAAACTATTTATACGATAATTTTTGTTATGCATTACATCTTCAGCCAAAACACTGTCTTTGTTTTGGAGATGAATATTCGATTCCATGAGTCGATGGCTTTGATTGAAAGAGTTATGATCTGTTTGGCCATCACTTTGCGGTCGCCATAAATACTTCTGTTCCAAAATGTGTTGTTCGTTGTCTGACGAAAGATTTAACGGTCTATTGGTTGACACGTTTGGACCGTTAGGTTTGCGAATACCATTTCCAAAAGAACCCGACAGAGGAGTCACATCTCTCGGAGTTCCGGAAAGTATTGATCCCGAAGTCGAGTGGTTTTTCATGGAGTGATTCATTAAGAAGTGCTCACTATTGTTGCCATATTTTTCATTATTATTCGTCATATGAATGGGTGGACTATCAATGGTCTGTGTATTGGGTTTGTAAGAAGTCTGTGCACTTTGAGTGAGTGTTTGATTCAACAATCGTTGTCTTTCATCGTTAATAAGTCTTTCCGTTTGTGAGTTCAAGAGTTCTGAATAACGGACTAAATTGAAAGGCACTGAAGATGTTGTGCCGCTTCCGGCCATTGGTAGTGGAGCTGACGGCACATGTAATTGGCCTCTAAGTAGACCAAAACGATCCATATAATAGGGATCACCCATACTATCAATCAAAATACTAATTAGTTTTGACCACAAGTTAATTAATATAATACAAACCGATACGAAGCACTTGGATGTGGCGCGTGATGTGGCAGTGGATTAGGATTAGTGTGAGGCAGGAATGGGTGATAAGGAAAAGCCATCGCATCATAAGGCAGTAGATGTGATGGCAGTGGTGCTGATGCCAAAGATGTCGAAGAATTACTTCGCAAACTATCTTCTAATCCACTTCTGTAGGGCTGAAACCCAGGCATACGATTCGTGACATTATTTTGTAGTATTGAATGATTGCCAACTGAATTAAGACTATCGTTATGAACGTGAGAAGGGGATGGCCTACGAGTGATACAAATTATAAGAGTTGTGGACAACAGGCTGTCTATAATGGTTGACAGACTCACCGAACTTGAACTATAGGTGATGTTCGCTGGGAATGAGAGTATATAAGAGACTCTTTGGGATCGGTATGTATTCTGTGCTCATAATACGATTGATTATCACTTTTTCTCAAATGATTTCTTAATTGATTATCACTTTCACTCCTATCGATCTGATGCGCCGGAATCGGTGCGATCGTCACGATAGGCGGTGACTGACGTATAGCTGAGCTTTGATATGGACTTTGAAACGAAGAATTGTTGGAATTTTTACTTAAGTTAGAGGAATGAGCGACAGAGAGACCATAGGGTATGGAATGTGGTGCAGATCCAGAATCGGTTGCAATCAAAGAATCTGATGTCTGTTTAGCTAGTTTTCTAAGCGCTGCCGCAAACGTAGACGTTCTCGTTTTGGCTAAATTACTGCTCGATATCAAGTTATGATAGT